CCTTTTTAAAACTAAATACCTTTATATAGGTTTTTATTTTAATAAAATATTTTTAGTTTATATAAGATTTAATACGTTTCCTTAAATAGAAAATATAATTCTTTAATTAATATTATTATAAAGACTTTAACTTTAAGTTTATACTTTTTAAGAAATTATTAAAGGTTTAGTAATTTTAAGCCTTTTTTATAGCCTTTAAATTACTACGTTTTAATTTATAATTTAATATTATATTTAATTTCTTTAATATTATAATTAATAAGAGAATTAATTTTTTATTTTTAAAATTTTAAATCTTTATAAAACTATTTATAACTTCTTTAACTTATCCTTATAAATTAATTATTTAATAGTAAATCTTTTATTATTTACATATAGTAATTAAGTTTTCTATTTATACTAAATAAAAGGATATTTATATCTTTTAAGATGACAGCCTGTCAGCATCAGGGTCTTGTATGGTCTAACGGTTAGGTGGCCCCTCCTGTCTACTGTAGTATACCCACTAGCCATGGGCAGGTGAGTTGATTCGCGGTTCCCGCTATGAAAAGAGTGTGGGGTCTTCCTTCCCAAGTACAACGTAACTAAGACGCATGTTAGTCTCCTGACTTCGGTCAGTCGTATTCTGGCTGTGCTTGGCTTAAGAAGGAAGACAAAACTCTTGCCGTTTTTTGCTACAAATGTCGCACATTTTTCAAGTCAATTTGTCTTTTGTTTCAATGTAATTGGAGCGAGTGTGCGACCTTTTTGCAATGCTGGTGCGACATAATCGCGATGTGTGCAGAGTGTGATCTCGTGATGCACTAAGATGCGGGGGAATTGGTGTTGAGAAATTCTGGAGCGGGTAAAGCCCGGCTAAAGCGAAGATCATCTGCTCGAATTCCGCATCTTCGGCTTTTCCTCCGCAGGCGGTGAGATCTGTTATGGGCGGGCGGTGAGACGGTTAGATATAAATTGCCTAATGACGATTTACCCTGTGAATATTGCCTTCGCCGGTGACATATACCTGCCGTTGAGGTTGAGGTTGATGGTGAGTATTACCATGTGCCAGAGGTTTAATGCGAGTCTCTCTCGTTCTGCTGCCTATTTCTGTAGGTTATAGACAAATGACACGTTCTGGAGAAGACATAGGTCGTAGCTCCGTACTTCATTACTTTGCTCTGCTGCCATCTTTATGTTCACAAAATGTAAGACATTATTGCAGCAGTGAACTGTGGAGTATGATTGGCACTTTGCTTTCAGTTGAGCAAAATGCCTAAGACTTATTGTTTTCGGATAGTGTAAGGCATCATCGAAGATTATGTATTACAGTACTCGTTGTTTCATCGGTCCTCGCCGCCCTTCTTTCACGCTGCTCAGAACCTCGGTCAAAGTTGATCTGATCTCAGCGTACCAGGACTCTTGTTCCCAATGTCCGATGTCCAGATTTCAGGAGTATTCCAGCATGCTTGGCACTGGCTCTTGATAATGCACTATCGTGACACAAGACCTTTACAGGTCTGTTTGCCCTCGCTGTACTCCTTAACAAGTTACTTGGTAAACGCCGGTTCCATGAGTGCTCTGGAGGGACCCAACGCACTCACAATCACTTCTCTAGTTTTGGTACTTTTCGCTCGTTGAGGAGGTTGCATCAGCCTGGACAACTGTTATCGAATGGGTGGAGCAATTTGGAGTAGTTATAGCATATCTGGTACCGTTCTTCAAGTGCTGCGATCTCAAAGGGCAGAACTTGATAAGTTCTATCTGTAATACGGTTGCCGTTCTCCTCCAATTATCACAAGACAGCGTGTGCCTGTATCTTCAGTTGTTAATCTCCTATTGGTGTCTTCTTTGCTCTGTCCTTGTTCTTGTGTACCCTGGCTGTATTCGTGGTATTTAGCTGAGCTTTCACCTGGGAAATCCTCGCTATATCTCAAGGGTATGGAGAACCGGCTCCCTGCCTGGTAAGGTTCGCTTCTCATCGCTGCCACGAGATGTTCGCTGCGAGTTGATCGTCGGGGTGTTGGCTATATTCAGCTGGAATTCTTGGCCTCATCATACCCATTATGGCCATTTTTGCCACAGCTGGTTGACGACATCTGTTTGCCTGACAATCCAGCTCTGCCCTGCGCCTGCTTACTGATGTTCTGTTGTTCTCCTGCTAGTTGTTGCGTATATTCTCATCTTTGCGCGGCTCTCGACAATCTGTAGTTGAAATACAAGGATCTCTACTTGCTTGTAGGTCTTATTTCCCTGTCATCAATGGATTTCTCGTGTTACTCTCGTAGTTCTATGGAATGCTGTTCCTTTCGTCGAGGTTCTCTCGGCTAGTTTAAGCTCTCAGCCACAGGCCTCAGAGCTGGCGCGCTATAGCTGAAGTAGACGAGACCAGCGAGTACTGCGTGATCTGTACTGACTCCTCTGATTGGCTTATGGAGGCGTTTGAGGTCATCATTCATGCTGAGGTCTCGCCGTGCCTCACGATCGAGTCGACGGAAATGGATTGGCAAGGGGACTGTTATGCTTCTGCGAGCTATCGGCTGTCACACCCCAATCAACTGTGCAGCGATAGAAGTCATCTTTAGATCATTAGTTGGCAGACTTGCCTGCATCGGGAATCTTACCTTGCATGTGTTTTGTGTGCTTTGAGCTGGTTCATCTTCATGGAAGAGCAGCAGCACTTAGTTATACGATATCAAGCTTTTCAGCGAAAAGCAAGATCCTAGGTAGGCAACAGTGAGGGGCCCTGGGGGCTCGCTGTGTAGTAAGTGATTTTAGGTTAATGTGTGAATTTAGGCTGCTATGTGGTTTTAGGTTGATGTGTGACTATAGCCCCAATGATTTGAGCTCATTATGTACCTGGATCGAAAGCTCCGCATTTGCTTTGCTACCAGAGACGATAGACTTGGAGAAGCACAAATGCCCAAGCTTGACTAAAAATGAGAACAATATACTCAGGCCATATATGAACCATTTTAAAAAGTCAGCTACTTGCCTCAAGCGAACAATTGTGCAAAGTACTCGAGAACTACGAATTGCCAGAAGGGAGTGCCATCACCGAGCAGTTCTCTCTTGGCTCCTGCATTTACACGATTCGATTCCAGAGAATTCCTTGGCATGACCTCGACCCACCAACACGAGATCAGAAGATCATGAACGGTGAACTCCCAGAGTCGTCTTCAGACGCTCCCTTTTGGGAAATTGCTGTCCAGGTGCTCGATCGGTGACTTTGAATTCGTATACTCAGTTGAACAGGAGATCATACGGCTGCTACAAAATAAGAGGGGACTTCAAGCGGTTGAAACAATGCTATCTCAATGAACCCTGACTTGATCTGAACATTGGAGCAAGAGTGTATCGAGTTTCTGAAGAAGAAGAACAGGGTGATGTAAGGGGGAAGCAGAGATCTGTATCTAAGAAGTCGTGATGATCTAATAGAGCACCATCTTCTCTTGCGCCGACGACTTCCAGGAATAAAGGTGGCTGTGAACCGACGCCTAGATTATCCTGACCCTCATCGATTCGGACGAGCTGGACGAAACAATCGCTAATGGGGTCCCAAGGAGGCTCTTCCCAGCTTCAAGCATGGATGGACGAGAAGCGAGGTGACTGCGAAGTATTAAAACGGCTCATCTCACCTGGTTCCGGCGGTAATTCAGGGCTGCTTTCCGAAGTCGCCGGATCAGAGGACTTATTTATCGCAACAGGCTACGTGAGACCTCAGGGCGATCTGTCCCTAGAGCATACCGTCGTGGTCGATCTCGTGTTCGTGCGTTGTTGTTGCTGGTGTATGTATAGTTGGGGAGATGGACTCTCTGTCAGTCAACTGACTACCCTATAACGGTGGTTGTACAACAGCCTGTGATTGCTTGCTACGATTGTATTGTTTGTGCTTGTTGGCTGCGCTTGTTCGTGAGCTAGGCTTGCTCCCATTGTGTCGCTGGATATGATTGCTCGTGAGCCTGGCGTGACCGTGTGTTGTTTGTGGTACAGGGGTATCGGATCAGGAAGAGACTGCTTGTTGCCTGTTGTGTTTCAGCTGGTGAGGCCACTCTTGCCCACCTCCGAGTTCACAGGGTGATGCAATGGTCTCAATGTGGACGCGGACTCGCTCTAATCGTTGCTCAACAGCTCGTCTCGTCTCGTACAGGATCGGCACCGTGGTCGCCGCTAATATTCCTGCGTAGGATGAGAATGTCAGCTGTCAGTCTCTCGAGACACGTCGCTCCCATGCGCAAGTTATTCAGGTCAGTCTAAGCCTCAACTACCATAGAATAATAGAGTTACTGGGGGGTGTCGGCATTTACAATCCCAGGAGAATAAGCTAATGATTCTCCGCGCTTGCGCGAGGGCGTGTGGACGGCAAGGAGGCCTGGCAAAAGACTGAATCACGCAATGAGGTGGGTTGGGGAACTGCGGCCGCGTGGGCAAAACGCAGCGGAAGTCGCCCAGAAATAGGGTGGCTAGGTAGTGGAGTTTTCGTTTAGCCAATTGGCTACCGTGCTGGATACATCCGTTTTGCCATGCTGTGCGAGATGGTGAGTCGATGAGTGGGAAAGTACGGATGGAACGGAGGGTGTTGCCTGGAGACGGGGTCCCAAAAAGTCACTTTGTGCTCACGTGATTAGCTCACCTTATACCTCTTGATTGTCTGACTAATCTACCTTCGACCGTCCTTGTCCGCTCAGAGGACGTCTGGCGCTACATCCCTAGCGCGACGCCGCTGTATTGGGAGACTCGATGCTCAAATTGAGGCATCATCAGCATGTGAGTCGCCTTCAACAGCGCAAGTTGTGCAAATGCACTTCGCTTGCTTGTGATGCAAGCTTATGTGTCTAGCATCAATAGCTACCCTATACAATCACACCTCTGCATTGGGCTGGCATGGCCATCACCTTCCTTTGTCATCACACTTTCTTGGCATACAAATGTTAAGAAAGTGGCCCTGTCTACACGTAAATCCTTAACAAGTGCACAACAAACATTCCAATCTGCGCTTTGCGCAGTCGCAAGCCGCGGCGATGGCTTCGTCTTCGACGATCCCGCCCGCTGCCTTGGATCCCTTCGATCTGGGGATCCACACTCCCATCAACCTGAACCGGGGAGCCCGTGCAGCCCTCTTACAGAACAGTCCGGTAGTCGTCAACGGCACTATTGGTGTTTCACCTGCTCCCGGCCGAATGGCTCAGACACCATCCTCACCACTCAACGCCGCCGCTACCACCACAGCTACGGAAGGAGCTGAGCGTGCCAGTCCCGTATCCACTTTTGAACAACGACCAATCTCTATCGTTGAATCAGCCAACGATCTCGCGCGAGAACACACGGAAGAGTACAACACCAAGCTCATGGTGTTCCGGGCCTTCTGTACCAAGTTTGAAGAAGCGGCCCAGCAATTCGTCACCGGACCGCAACGACGCTTCGCTCAGCAGTTTGCCAATGATTTCCTCGGTTTTTGGAAACGAGAGCTCTCCAAGCCTACATACAGCAGCGTGGCCGCTGCCGCGCCTCCCACTGACCATGACCGTCTGACCTACAGACAACAACAACAACATAAAGGCCGACAAACAGATCCACCTCATCGCCAAGGGCAACAGACGACCATCGCCCCACCCCGACAAGACCTCCGCGTCTTCATCCGTCTAGAAGCCGGAGCTCCGGCCAGGGCCCACAGTAGCTATGCCATCCGGACTCTGATTCGGGAGAAGCTCGGCGCTGTCTCAGACAAGATCCGGCAGGTGTTCCAGGTCAGATCGGGATGGGCCGTTCTGGCTGCCGACTCGGCAACACGCGACTTTCTGGTAGAAAAGCAAGCTGAGTGGGCCGCTGAACTGGGAGCTACAGCAGTAGAAACGAACAAGGAATGGTTCACCTGTGTGGTCTCAGACGTTCCTACAAGACTGTCTGACTTTTACGGAAATGAGGTGGAGAGTGACAGCGTCGTCAGCGACGAGATAGAAATCCAGACTGGGCTCAAGCCCATTGACGTACGTACCGGAAGACAAACCTCGGATAACCCCTTGACCAAGGCCCTACTTGTGTCCTTTCTGAAGCCCACAAAAAGATTCTGGTCTCTTTTCGGCAGTAGCGCAGCTAGACTTGTCGACAAAACCGACCGACATAGACAATGTGAGAAGTGCTGGGGCCACCATTTTGCCCGCAACTGTCACAGACAGCCAGTTTGCCGACGCTGTGGTGAGACCGGCCACCTCGTAGACGATTGCATCGCACCAGAACAGTGCGTCAACTGCTTGGGCCCCCACCAGGCCAACTTTCGTAGGTGCCCAGCTCGGCCAAAGACAGTGCACGGCGTGCTCCGCCGACTGACTAAAGAGCAACGAAAACATGTCAGGGCCGTTGGTGCGGAGACATACCGACAACGACACCAAGAACCACAGTCGGGATCGCATCAGGAAGCCCAGCAGGGCATGGCTGAGCGACAAAACGAGGGTGTCACATCACAAGAACGACCGAACGCTCGTGCTCCAAGCCCAGCTGTATCAGGAGCACCTTCGTGCATCATGGTGGCCACGACCCCTCATGCTGGCTATGAAGCAGAGGAAGAACCCGAACAGCCCAGACCAGGCTCACCGCGAAAGCGCCGAATAGTTCTCATTAATCGCTCGCATGGCCAGGAATAGATATTCTCAAACACGAAAGAACGACAGGAAGCCGCTCAGGATCTTCCAGGCCAACGTCGGCAAGATCCCTCCGGCCCACGACTGCGCCCTGGCGCTGGCCGACTCGGAACAATATGACGTTGTGCTCTTGCAAGAGCCGTGGACGGCTCACACAGAGACCCGCACTTTAACTAAGACTCACCCTGCATACGACACATTTACGCCGGTCGACATGTGGAACAGCAACGACACTCGGCCTAGAGTGATGACATATGTCCGACGAGACCCAAGACTTCTTGCTGACCAGATTCGGCCTTTTCAGACTCGTGATATCCTTTGGCTCACAATCAACGACCTGACGATCGTCAACTTCTATCGTCAGAACGACGAGAGGGACGCCCTAGACACGCTATTTCAATGGTCTGTCCCGGAACGTTGCCTCGTAGCTGGCGATTTCAATGCCAGACATCGTAGCTGGCAAACAGGCCAAACTACGAACCGGGGCCAAGAGATAGCAGGATGGGTGTCTGAGAATGACCTCAGCCTTCTCAACACTTTAGACATCCCAACAAACCCGTACGGCAACACAATCGATCTTGCCTTTACTAACCTACCACTTGCTGAAGCTGTCGTCGAGGACCATCTCGCCACCAGCTCTGACCACTTCACGCTCAGCCTGACCTTCTCAGACGTCAGATCGACTCCGATGCAGCCAGGCAAGATTCGAGTGACGACGGAAGACGAGCTTAAACGATTCGTCGAGATCGTAGAGCTTGGCGCTACAGGAATACCCCTGACAGATTCGACCCCCGAGGAGCTGGACGAGCTTGCGTCTTCACTTGTGAGTCTACTAACATCAGCAGCAAAAGCGTCTGGGAGGCCCGCACGGAAAGGCGGACGCCCGGCTCCCTGGTGGACGGAGGAGTGCGCCGACGCCGCGGCTGCTTTTCGAGCCATCAGAAGAAGCTACCCACTCGGCTTCAACCAGGACGTTCAGATCGCCAAGAGAGGCTTTCATCGTGTGGTCCGTCGGGCCAAGAGGCGCTATTGGCGTAACCTCATCGACGGCTTCTCCAGCAGTAGCGATATTTTCAAAGCTGTCCGGTGGCTAAAGTCCCCAGGAGCCTTCCAGCCGCCACCTCTACAGATCGATAACGTCGTGTACGAAAGCCAGATGGATAAAGCCAACGCACTCCGACAGGCCACGCTTGAACGAAGAACTGCGGAGGACGACATCGCAAACGCATGGACGCCAGTATTCCCACCTAGATCGATCCCATTCTCTCCCGAAATCTCTCTGGAGGAGGCGCAATATGCGACTTGTCACACAGGCAATACATCCCCAGGGTCAGACAACATCACAGTCAAACTTCTTGAAGCAGTATGGCATACCATCGGTACACACGTCCGTCGTCTCTTCGAAAGATGCCTTACCATAGGCCATCATCCAAAACCATTCAGGGAGGCGGAGGTGGTCATGATCACGAAACCGGGACGGAGAGACCTTACCGAACCACGAGCATGGCGACCCATCTCACTGCTCTCCTGTCTTGGTAAGGGACTAGAACGACTGATCGCGCGCCGCCTAGCCTGGGCAGCCGTTCACTACAGCGTCCTTCATCCGCAGCAAGCTGGGGTGCTCCCCAAGAGGTCGGCAACAGACTTGGTAACCGCTCTGGTCCATGATATTGAAGAAGCGTTTGCACGCAAGAAGGTGGCGGCTTTAGTCACAATGGACGTCCAAGGCGCATTCGACACCGTCATGCGCAACAGGCTCGTCCTGCGTCTTCGTGAGCAAGGCTGGCCTAATCATCTGGCTCGCTGGGCCGGCTCCTTCATGGGCGGCCGGTCGGCACGTGTCAGGTACCAAGACACAGTCACGGCCTCTTCTCCCCTTCATTGCGGCCTCCCTCAGGGGTCGCCGGTATCGCCAATCCTCTTTCTGCTCTACACTGAGCCAATCTACCGATTAGGGAACCCTCAGGGTCACTTCGGCTATGCAGACGACACGGCCATCCTGTCCATAGGCGACACAGTAGACGAGACTTCTGCCATGGCATCTAGATCCATCGCCGAGATGGTGCGATGGGGCGCGGAGAATGGCGTGTCCTTCGACACGAAGAAGACCGAAGTCATGCATTTCTCCCGCAGCAAACGCAGGACTGCGCCGGCAGGACGCCACGGCGATGCCGAGAAATACCCTGAACCAGCTCTACGCTGGCTTGGTATCTGGTTGGATAGCAGACTATCTTTTCGACTTCATGTCGAAAAGTGGGCGGCCAAAGCAAAGGCAGTGGCTTATCATTTGCGGGGGCTCACCAACACGGTACACGGCCCTCTACCGAGCGCCGTGCGAGGCGCCGTCAGAGCATGTGTCGAGCCAGTGCTGCTCCACGGCTCAGAGGCTTGGTACCCGGGCAAGACCAGGCCGCGGTGGACCCATCCTACGAAAGATCTACCACCGAGTAACCAGCATCTCGTGCAAATAATGACAAAAGCCATGAAACAGGCTATGAAGGCCATTCTTCCCGTCTGGAAGACGACACCCATCACCGTCCTCCACAGAGAAAGCGGGATACCACCAGTCGATCAATTGCTTGACGCGAGGCGACTTAGGTTCTCCGCACGACTCAAATCGCTGGATGAGGCTCATCCTCTGGCGATCCGAACGCGCCCGCCCCGACAGCCTACTTACCACGACCTCATCAAACGAAGATATCAAATACAGGCAGAGAGCAGTTTCAGGACGCGCCTTCGACGTGCAAACGAACTCTTTGCACCCTGCACGCGGCCGAAACTCGTCTATCGATGCTTCCATCAAGAACAGATGCCTCCACTGCAGGCAGCGTCTAAAGAGAAATCGGCTGACGCCTTTTCCCGCTGGGTCGAGTCTCTCGACCCGCCCACCTTGGTCGTATACTCGGATGGCTCTCTTTCCTCAGAAGGGGCTGCCAGCTATGGCTTCACCATCCATCAGAACAATATCCCCATCTTTGACGGATCAGGTCGCCTCGGACCTGCTGAGGTTTTCGATGCTGAAGCTACCGGGGCTTTCGAGGGCCTGAAGGCTGCTCTAAACCTGCGAGAATTAGCAACACAGAATATATTCATCTGCCTAGATAACCTGGCAGCCGCCACGTGTCTACGAGGCACTCCTTCTGAATCCTCTCAAAACGTCTTTCTCGAGTTCCAAGCTCTGACGACATCGCATGGAGCCATCCAAGTTCGCTGGGTGCCAGGGCACTCCAACATCCCCGGCAACGAACAGGCCGACAAGCTGGCAAAGGCAGCTTCATCGCTCCCAGAGCCCGAAGGCGCTCAACCGACGCTGGCTTACCTACAAAGAATCGCAAGACAGAAGCCCAAAGAAGCGTTCCAGGCGTGGTGGTCCACCTCCGCTCCTGAGCAGTACAAAAGACTCAATCTCAAGGCGACCACAGGCTGCCCGCCGGAGCTCTCGCTCCCGCGCGCAGCCTTACACCATCTGCTGGCAGCGAGATCCCTCCATGGGGACTTCGCTGCGTATCACGAGAGATTCGACCACAACGACGCACGCCTGGTCTGCTCATGTGGCCGACGCAAAGCACCGGATCACATCTTCTACTGCAGAAAAGTACCGCTGCGTCATCGGATGAGGCTTGCACCCTCTCCGAATACGGCAGTGAACCTTGCAATAGGAAGAGACTTCAGCAAATTCATCGATCTGTCCAAGGACAGCGCGTTCTTTGGAAAGATTTGCCCTCGTTATTAGGCGACGATGACCTGGGAAGCACTCGCAACTCTCCTTCCCTCTCTACCTTCCACACATCTCTTTTGTTACCTTTTCTTCCTCTCTTATATGCTCACGGCCAGATGAAGGGCGCCACCGCGCCCCTCACCTGGCCGGGACCACCTTGAGGCGGTCTCGAGCTGCCGCACACAGACTGATCTCAGCTCTTCTGACATCAGGCTCCAAAAGCGGCTGCCATATGCCAGCTGCGCCTTGTCATCCCGCTGACGGGTAACAGGCTCGATAGGATGCGCCATTTGTGCCAATGATATGCTGGATAGAGTGCGATCTACTGACCCGTTTGCAGAAATTGGATGCCACGGGGAAGACTAATTTCGCGTCGCGAATGACTAATCCTTTATGGCCAATAGCATTTCTGTAACTAGCGTGAAGATAGATTCCGATTCCTCTAGCCCAGCACGTCCTGTGCCCCAGTAGGGGACTTTTCGGGGCCTTTGGCCCCCCGGACGAAAAATATACATAACATAACATAACATAACACATTATAATTCACCTATTGACAGAGAAGGCTTCCTTAGAATAGAAATGCATTCTCGAGACAGCTTTTGCATGAACACGAGATAGAGCATAAAATGCGGCTTTTGAAAGGCTCATTTATTCAAGCAAACCACTATATATCGAGACCAGTCGCATCACCAGAGTCAGCTTCACTCATCGCACGGCCACAAGGCTTATTCCCCAGCCCAACATTCTCATCCCACCGAAACCCCAAATACCGGAACGATCGGATGCTCGCTGAGTCAGCGCCAGCCGCTTCACAAATGCCGAACATAATCTCACCACCAAAAAAGAACGCTACAGAATTGCCGTGATCTGTGCGCTTTAGACTTTAAGGCTATGTAACCCGGACCTATGCGCTCTTTATGTTATGTTA